TCTTAACCTAACCCTAAAGCTAACCCTAAACCTAACCCTTACCTTAAGTTGAATCGGCTTGCTTTCAAAGCGCTATTTAAAGCGCCCTTCTTTCTCCGCGCTGGCTGTTTTCGCCCTGTTGATGACGTCAGCGACGCGGTTTAATCGGGCGCGCTTTAGTCGAGCGTGGTTTTGTCGTGCCACGGTGGGGGTATAATCAAATGATAGATACCTCATATGTTCTTCAGAGCCAGTTTCAGATCATATTAATGTAATATTATGCTTGGAAAATATGAAGCACATGTGAAATACATGCGAAATACAGCTTTCTTTATTCGTGTTTCCTTTGATTTGGAGAATTTGTGGTTCTTTTATAATGCAAAGTAGTATAATAGTATTCTGGAATATCATCGATGCACTTCGGTGATACACTGAATTTTCTTTGCAAAGTTCACCCCCTCTAAAATATCTAAATATTTTGACAATAATGTTGTGATGTTTCATTCTCCTTTTCTAATTGTCTTCCTATCTGGTTTTCAGAATCCTATTTGGCTATCATTGTAGCTGTTACTGTTGTTGCTGCTTTGCTAGCCTGTGTGCTGGTGGTCTTTCTCATCTTCATCGTTAAACTTTGGATCAATTAATGCAATCGAAAGGACAACTCCATGAATATATGTGTGTGTGTCCTGCTCTCTGAAACTCTTCTTCCTGCTTGAAATGTCCCATTACATTACAAGGTAGTTGAAATGATTGGCTGGTGAGATGGATTCCCATCAATTCCTAGCTTGAAGGACTGTTTACATTTGAGGATTTTTTGATAATTATAAAATGAGCAGTGATCATTCATATATTTTTACAAGGACCACGTTTCCTAGAAGATGCACATGTGAAAGGAATGCCAACAATCATGTATGATGTATTATTCTTATAATAAACTGACAGGGCAATATTATATTCATGTAAATTCACTTCCCCTTCCCATAGTATAAATAATATCATAGAAGGAAGTGAACAATGCATTTACTAGCAATACAACAACTTTGTAACTATAACACTTTGAGAGCAAGCAATGAAATACAAATGTATATAAAATTGGAGACATTTGCTGCAAAAAAAAAAACCCAGGAAAGTGGAGCATCAGGCCATAAATTAGTACATTGAAATCAATGCCCATTTTGTATCCAACAATATTAACATTCTATATTTCCAGATATTCAGAATTGATTTGATTTGATTGATTAGATTTAATAAATGTATGGGCCGCCCAATCCCGAAGGACTCCGGGCAGCTTACAGAAAATAAATTTTAAGAAGTGAAGAGTTAAAAACAAACGGAAGAAAACAGATTAAAAGAAAGCACATCATGCACCCAGTCTAATCGGGGGCAGGACCTCGGTAAAGAGGTCAGCAGCCCCAGGACTGCCGGAATAGCCAGGTTTTAATAGCCTTTCGGAAGGCAGAATATTTTTTTTCAGTATCTAGCCACAGAAATTTAAGGGAACAGGGCCGTGACAAAACCGCGGTCCACTAAAGCGCGCCCGATTAAAGCGCGTCACTGACGTAATCAGCAGCGCAACAACAGCGACCGCGGAGAAAAAAGGGCGCTTTAAAAAGCGCTTTGAAAGCAAGCCGATTCACATTAAGGT